ACGCATGCCTGACGAGCGGCAAGAACCGCGAAACCGGTCGTGTGCTTCCAGGGAAATTTTGTCTAGTCATTCACATACTACTTATTATCATATATATATATATATACCACACGTCTCTTTCTTTTCCAATACACATTGGCTGGCAATACCATTCGCAAGCTGTCTTTCAGCTGGCAGCATTGGGAAACGCAGCGTGGGACCAGGTTTGGTGATAGTTTTTTTTGGCGAGACAACAGACTGGCACCGAGATCCTTACCTGAGAAGTTTGCCACGACCTATATGACCAAGTGAGGTGGTCGGTTGATTATCTATGACTTTTCGTCACCTACTACAACTACTACTACTTCTACTACTACCGGTCTTGGTACACAGCGGATAACCAAGATGCCTAACCGGGGACATGCGTAACACAACCCGGTCATCACAATCTGTGGACATGAAGCATTTGCTGTCGGACCATAAATGAACTGACTGACTGGCTATCACTGAAGGCGACATCGGAACAAACACGAATTGGCAACTCAGTTCCGCTCTGGCATGAACCGGTTGGCACAGTGGTCACACACACGCCTTCCATACGATGAATCCGGAGTTCAAAGCCCAGGCGGGACGGTGGATATGCACTATTGATGAGCTCTAATAAGAGCGAAACTCGAGTCTATGGTGTGGTTCCGATGATATGGTGAGTAGGATGAGTTGAGTATGAGTGCGAGCAAGTGACGTCCGAAGTGTGGTCAGTCCAAATCAATCTCGGTTATGCCACAGCACCAGTTACATAAGTGGAGTGGAGTGCGAATAAGAAAATCCGTGTTTCGCGCATAATAACACAAATAGAAATATACGCTTGATCATAGTAGACCAACCGCTGCCTACCCACTCCCCACTCACCCAAAAGGAAACAGGGGGACCTAGAAAATTTAGATTGAATGATAATCGTACAACTAACTGACCGGAAAAAAAAGAAACATAAACAGCAGAACAGTACAACCACATGTATGAAAGGCGTGAAAAATATTAGAAAAAATGGAGAGATAGATGGATGGACGAGGTGAGGGTGGGGGACAAAAATGGTGGTGGTAGCAGTGGTATTCAGATAGGTGGAAAAATAGATCGAGACGCTCATAACAAGATACAATAGATGGGTGTCTTTGTGTGTGTGTGTGCACGCGCGCAGATAATGAACGGAGGAAACGTTTGGCTCTGACCACAACTAAGCATCGACGATAAATCACATGTGGACAAGGGGGAAAACGAGCGAGTTGGGGCTGGCCGGGGGTAGGAGAGGTGAAATTAGAAAAAAAGAAAAAAATCGTATGGAGTGTTTTCATTGGATAACCACCAATGTGGTTTATAGTTGAGCAGCAGCAGCAACAGCAACAGCAGTGAAGGATTGATTCAAATATGATCTGCATCGGGTTTGTGGAGGCGGGCGGGTGCTGGAGCAAGGAGGAGAGGATGGTGGCAGAAACGAGAGCAGCAAAAGCGATCTGCAATCGGAGCAAGTGAGGATAAAGGCCACCATGGACAACAGATACAAGGCCCAATGATTAGAGACAGGAGAGGGAAGGAGACATCACGTGCACACATTATGGGCTAAATGACTATGGCGAAGTGACAGGCAATTGGTCAATTACCTGAGTGTGTGTGTGTGCGTGTGTGCTAGTGCGGCGCGGCGCGGCCACGCTAACTAACGAGGCAAAATTAGAGCACCACCACTACTACCACCACCACCACCAGCAGCAGCAGTACCCGA